CAGCCCCCTCTTTTTTTAAAAAAAAAAAAAAAAAAAATCATCTTAATGTTTTGAATGCAGCCACCCGCGTTTCTCCTTTCCCAGTCTAAAACTGTTCATAGCTATTTTATAACCCTTAAGAGCAAAATTCATTTCTGATTGAGGTCTGCCACAGTAATTTGTTGGAGGGACACTTCAGGTTTCATTTTAAAGACTCTAGAGCCCTTTAGTCCATTCAGAAAGGATATTTTATAAACTAAAAACAGTGTCATTATAACCTGCTGAAGTATTATCATCTTGCATTTACATAGGACTATTTGGATTAGGATTGATAATAGGTTAGAAATCCTTTTACTTCAAGTTCAGTAGTTGAAATGTTGGTGGAGCACAATGAGGGTGGTTATGCTGCAGCTGTTCCTGCCAGATATTTTTATTGGTAAGAGAGTATTTACTTCTATAGTGATATGAACTGAGCGCTAATTAGTTAAAGAAAAAAATGTGGAGAACACATTCTTTGTGCTTTTTTGTTGTCCTTCAAATAATCTGAAGTACATCTAACAAAAAATAAAAGCCATGAAACTGACTTCTGTATTCAAGGACTGCTTCAAAACTTTATTTTTTGTTGTTTTTCCCTGTCTTGCAGATCTTGGCCTTGATCAATTTATTGTGAAGCGTTATGATGGAAAGGTGAGCTAACTTTGACTTTGTTTAGTGTTTGTTTGTTTGTTTTTTCTTACCTAGAATATCTCTTAATTCTTAATTTTTCAGTGAATCTCTGTCAAGGTATAAGGAAAATAAAGTGTTACTTTAGTTTGTGTTGAAGCATTGCAGTGGTTTGTTACATAGCTGAACAAAAAAAAAGTATACAAAGGGTTGATTTAATGCTTCCAAAACCAAAACATGGCGTAACTTCCTTTTAACTGCAGCTTTTAACAGCTTTTTAGCAGGAACCAGGTTTTTCACTGTTACTTGCTAGCAAACTGACTAACCCTATTACAGTGAACACCCTCTTTTAATGAACTTTTCTCCCAGTCCCATAGTGGTTTGTTATAATGATGGTGTGTTTATACTAATTTCTTTGCCTGCTGGTGGGAGAGGGAATTGTGTACTTGCAGTAATCCTAAAATCAAACTTAATAGCAGTCTCTGCTTGGTTGTATAAGATTATTGAGCATTACAAAGTATCAACTACTGGTATGCATATAGATATAGTTCTAGCAATCAAGCAAGCAATCCAGTTATATATGTAGATTACCAGTCCTATGAATACACTACACTTCTCTGTCAGCTGGCCAGGTGTCACAGAGCAGGCTGGTTCCTTGAAAGGAGTTCAGATCTTTTCAATCTTCAGCCACAATCAGGATCAGGGAAGAATTTTTTTTTCAAGGTGGTGATATTTATAGTCCTTTAGTCACATAGCCACGAATTAGACAAGTTTCTGATTTTTATACACATTGCGTTATGTCGTCTTCTGTCGATCCTCTACTTATTGGTACCAGGAGCCTTCTGCTTTCAATATGGATGGAATGTGTTCTAATAAGCTGTTTTTCTCAGACTTTTCACAGAAAAACAAGTTGCATAATTGTATAGCCTGTGTGCAGGTGTTAACTCCGTAAATACACTCTTGTCAAGGCTAGGCCTTGCGGCCTAACAGACCATTTCAGTCTTGTCCAGTGTCAAGAGGCTGAACTGTCTCCACAACAGTGTGCTGACTATGCTGTAATAATTTGGTTTTCCTTTATAGACAGCACCACATACTATATTACAGTTCTGAAACCAAGTTAATTCTACTGAAATTAATAGAGTTATAGCAGGGATGCATTTGGTCTCAGAAGTAAAACACAAGTTGGTACCATGGTTAAGATGCTGCTTGATTCCTCTGTACAGGCTGAGCCAAGCTGCATTATCTAAGATGCCTAATTTTGTTGACTTGTGTATATGGACAGCTGTTACGTAAAGTAATGTAATATTCCTTTATACCAGTCATCTTAACCAGGGTGTCATAAGAGCCCTTTAAGGGTGCCATGGTGTCTGGCCCCAGTGTGAGGAGGCAGGTATTTCAGGGTGCCCCCTGTCTGGCACCTCGTGCTGCCCCAGCTACCCCAGTGGTTCCCCTCCATAACTCTTTGGAATTTAAATGTAACTCAGTAATTCTCAACTGGGGTGCCACTAAGTTCAGGAAAGTTATGGAGAGGTGCTTTGTGGCCAGAAAGTTTGAGAATTGCTGCTGTGTACCATTCTGAATACTCCACAATACCTTCATTGGTAGCAATGTTGTCATCTCGCCTACAGCAAAATTCCTTGAAATCCAAGCTTTCCTGTCCCCACCCAAATAAAGTAATTATTTTGACCTCTGATTGCTGAATGATACCTGGTATTTAATATGCAAGTGTGGCCAGTTGTAGCTAGAAAGTCCTGATATTTGACTCCATGTTAATAAAACTCCACAATCTGAGACTAAATTCATCCTAATTTACTTTTTGGTTTTGTATTTAATGGAATGCATTTTTGTTCACTTCCTGTGAGGAGGTGGCTGGACATAACTAAATGATTACTCAAATATAAGGGTGTTTGTTGTGGATGAGTGCCTGTGTTCACCCAAGGAGTACAGCATTGTTTAACTGACAACAGAATATTTAAAGTAGTTTTTGTCACCAAGCCACTTTGTGCGTCTCATTTGTAACTATGAAGCAGGTAAAATGCTTGTTTTCTTGTCCTTTTTCTTTAAATCATAAAAAGTAGACTCTCTCCTCTGTGCAGTTCCTCCATTCTTTCTCCCTCTGCTAACTGTCAGTCCATGTGATCTTAACACACTTTCATGGTATGTTTGTGAGACTATCAAATAGAACTTCAGTCTTCAAGGTCTGTATAAACAACATTTCTTAGGAAAGAAGTGCTGAGTCCCACACAATTTTGCTGATAGTTCCTCTGTTCCTGAGTACTGTACATGTCAAGTCCCATCATGTGGTATAAAAATCTCAAAGCTAAATGGTTTGTTTACTGAACTCAGATTTTTGTTCTACTGTTGCCTCCTTTCTGGGTAGACTTGCAATGCATTATAATACTTACATACATGATTGCAGCAGTATCAGAGACACTTGCCCTTGTATACTCCCATCTTGCCAAAGTAGTATAAAGGTGAATCAATCAGTAGATGCAGACTGAAAGGCTTAATTTTTATGGCCCGTGTTTGTTTCCTGCACTGTCCATCCTCCAATCTGACCTTCTATTCAAACCACAATCATTTTTATTTGGTATACTGTGTTATAGGGGTGTTAAACTCATTAGGCCTCACAGATTGGATGAGGGGTGCAAGGCCAGTTTGCAGGCTGAATTGGATCTGCAGACTAGCCCTGTGTACCATATCCGGCATAGGAGGATTGTTTGGCATGGGTGTTGTATGCAGCATTCACTCTGGATTGGTGCTGACTTCAGCCCCATACACTGTATAAAGCACACAGGTCCTGTCCAGTCCAAGACTCGCAGGAAGCACTGTTGGCTAGGTGCTAAGGTTCTGTGGGTTGGATCATTGATACCCCTGCTGTGTTATGTCTGTAGAGATGCTGTGCCCAATTAACAAACAAAATGTACTGCATGGTTGAGTTCTTAACATGAGACATCAGTTTTAAAATCACGAGTGTAATCAGTCACTCTCAATAGTAGTGTTATGCAAGGTAGGCTACAAGCAGGGGCTATAGTACTCCATACGCACTAGGATCTGTTATGAAAGGAAGTAATGGCTCATGTGCATTTGACTCTTCTGTTTAAGGAATGCTGATGACAGAATTAAGTTAGCCTTGATTATGAAGACAGCAGTGATGACATGGCAAGGGGTTGAAATTAAAGCAAGATTTGGGGTCTTATTCAGTAATGCAGAAGTGTAGATCATTTAATCACTAATAGATCAAGTTATCTAGTACCTTTTTCCCCCTCACTTTATATTCTGCTCCTGGTTTCAATTAAAGAATGAGCTTGTCTTAAGCTCATTCAGATGCCCATTAAAGTACCATAAAACTGAATCTTTTCATCCAAGTTTGAGTTATGTAGGTATCAGTTAAGGGATAAAATTAATCTAATATCTTTTCTTGTCTGCTCTTGATCTTTTATGTTCTCATTTTTCATCTTGGTTTCCCAAATGCATGCAAGCACTCTAACTGAAGACAACCTCCTCCTTAGTTGCAGTTATAACTTTGTGAAGCCATAATTGTGTGTGCTTTTTTGTACGTTGGCAGAGATAGTGAATTTTAGTAAAAGGCTTGAGAGGACTATTGTTCCCATGAGTATACTGCATGATGTCCATTAGTGTCGATGGAAATTATGGTATAAACATGTACTGAGGACAGAACAGACTTTCCCATTGGAAATTTCTTCTCCTTTTGTAAGATGAAAGGTTAAAAAAAAAAAAAAAAGTATTTAGGTGGAAGTCAACAATGGTACTGAAAAGCACTGGTTATCTGAACTAGATATTGGCTAAAGAATAGAAAACAGAAATATTTTTAGTTGTAAACCAGGATTTATTTCTATGGCTCTATGTAACTAATAATTTAGAGCAAACTTCAGTAAAGAGAATAGAACCAGCTGTGTAGTCAGATGTGTTTTAATTACATACTGTAGAACAAAGTGTACAGATTCTGTGAATTTTGTGCATGTATGTTGAAGACAATGTCACTTAATAGTAAATCAAATACATTAATTGTTTTTTCCAGACAGTCTTGAAAAATTAGAAGGCAGCCAACAAATAGATTAGTCATGACCAGCACAAGTAATTGCCAAAGATCTTTAAGCAGTTTACTGCAAATCTGGGAGACTTCCTAAATATTTGTCCATGTGAAAAAAGTTATGGTGGAAGAGCAGTATTCTTCTTTCCAGCTAGTAATAAACACACTTCCTCCTATTAAGGGGAGCACTGTACATGTAACTTCAACCCCTATACATGTCTCTATGAAGTAGCTGGAGATCAGCAGCCAAAGATGTTCATCCTAGATGCCAGATGTCCTCCATGGAGGAAGATGTTTTTACCTGCTACAGGCCTAAGTAGCAGGGTATAAGTAAGCATGGAGCTAGGTGACTTAATTTAAGAGCACCTACTTTCCATAAGGGAGGCATCTATCTCTACTGTCTGTATACTGAATCAAATGGGTGATCTTTTTTCATCAGCAGTACAGGCTTCTCTAGTGCCCAAATGAGACAATTTGTTGTGAGAACATTAATGAAGTGTTAGTAAAAAGGACAAAATCAATGCAAAAATTTGCAAGTGTTCATGAAAAACATTGCACACATTGATAAAACCTTTATAGAATCCTTCAATTTCCTTTCTCTAGCACCCGCTGGAAAATGTTAGCAGAAATTAAATACTATTTAATTTTAATTTACCATATTCTATTACCTCTCGCTGTGTTCATTAGTATGCCTGTGTTAGGAGTCCATTATGAACGGTGCAGTGTTGTTTCCTTTTGAAGACTGGGTGTGTTGGCCTTGGGTCTGTGGTGTTCTTTGCCCTAGGAATATCAGACCTGTGCTGGAAAATATATGAAATGCTTTAAAATCCAGTTAAACCAAATGAAGTGAAGCTACTCCACCTTGATCTCAGATGAAGTTTTCAAACTGATATGCTATACTGGTAGTGATTCCAGTGGTTGTAGTACTGTGTGGTAGGCCTGTGTGAAGTGGCAAGTATTCACTTCGGAT